AGATGGTTTTCTTTTATTCAGTGTTTCCAAATCTTGAAGTTTCTGTTTTAAGGAGCTTCTGTTATCCTTAAGGAAGCACCTATTTGAACAAAAGTTCCCCTGATTACTGCTTTATGAGCAAGCCATTGAGTTGTTATGGATGTGCTGTCATTATCGTCTTGGAAGTAGTTTACCACTGTTTCCTTTATCATAGGCATGAGCTTAGGGTTGTCTAGTAGCGCCTCATTAATTCTCCATTTGCTCATGCCCCTGGCTGGGTACAGAGCTTGAAGGATCATTGTTACTAGGGCGTGATCTGACCAGGTTCTCTGCCCTATAGATACGTCCAGCATATTCAGGGCCGGATTAACATAGGGGCTGATGGAGCTGCAGCTCCAGGCCCAGGCCCAGGCCCATGGAATAGGCCCATTGATTTAAAAAAAAAAATAATAATTTTTTTTTTTTTTACATTTTTTTTTTTTCACACACTACTCTTAGGGATTCCACCTGGCTTTTATTTTATTGGCACAGCCAGTATTTGAGGCTGCCTGGCTAGTGCCAATATTGCAGTAATACTGGCAATACAAATGCTGGTATTTTTCTCAGTATAAACAAGAGATTACTCCGCAATACCAGCACTGGCCAGTAGGGGTCGCTGTGTGTGGAGACAGGCAGGGATAGGAAGTTCCAGCATTTCCCTCCCTGCCTATCTATACTCACTGATCTGCAGGGGTGCAGCTACAGAGAGTCCAGACAGTAATTCCCACCCTGCAGAGACAGCCTACAGCTCAGGGAAGTAAGGGATGGAGGGAAAGGCTGCAAGGAGACATGGGGACACTGAGACACTAAGGGACATTGGGAGACATTATGACAGACACTGAGACACTAAGGGACACTGGGAGACATTATGGCAGACACTGGGACACTAAGGGGCACTGGGAGACATTATGGCAGACACTAAGACACTAAGGGACATTGGGAGACATTATGGCAGACACTGAGACACTAAGGGACACTGGGAGACATGGCAGACACTGAGACACTAAGGGGCACTGGGAGACATTATGGCAGACACTGGGACACTAAGGGCCACTGGGAGACATTGTGGCAGACACTGAGACACTAAGGGACATTGGGAGACATTATGACACAGACACATGGGGACACAGTGTCCCCATGTCTTACAGCCAGTGTCCCTGGTGTCTCAGTGCCCCCTAGTCTCCCAGTGACCCCTAGTGCCCCCAGTCTGCCAGTGTCTCACTGTCCCCATGTCTCCTAGTGCCTCCATGTCTCTCAGTGCCTCAAGTGTCACAATGTCCCCATGTCTCCAAGCTAGTGTCCCTAGTGTCTGTGTCCCTGGTGTCTGTGTCCCCATGTCTTCAAGTGTCTCCTATTTTCCTATTGTCCCCATGTGTCCCAGCCAGAGTCCCCTAGTCTCCCAGTGTCACTGGTGTCTCCATGTCCCTAGGTCTCCCCATGTCCCCAGGTCTTCCCGTCTTCCTAGTGTCCTAGTAACATGGTGACCCTGGGATACATGGGGACACAGGGAGACATGGGGCATTGAGACACTGTGATACATAGGATCACTGGGAGACCTTGGGACATGACACTAGGGGACACTGGGAGACATGAGGCACTGAGACAATGATACATAGGAACACTGAGACTTGGAGTAATCGACACATGGGGGCACTGAGTCATGAGGGCACTGGGAGACATGGGGGCACTGGGAGGAATCCATCTATACAGCAGAATCAAACTAGTTTTTTGGTGATTTTACAGAATTTTCTCTTATGTCACTCCTTGTGATTTACATCATGTGATGTCACCCATACATATTTAATTATGCAAATTAGTAAGGCCGGTATGTTTTTCCAAGAAAGATGGCAACCCTAACTACTTTTCACATACTCTTACTTAAGTATGGAAACTTAAGAGGGATGTATGGGAACAAAACTTGTGTGGACTGGCTGACAATGAATATAGTTAAAGGGACACTATAGTCACCAGAACAACTACAGCTTATTGAATTTGTTCTGGTGAGTAGAATCATTACCGTCAGGCCTTTTGCTGTAAACACTGTCTTTTCAGAGAAAATGCAGTGTTTACATTACAGCCTAGTGATAACTTCACTGGCCACTCCTTAGATGGCTGTTAGAGATCCTTCCTGGGTCATGGCTGCCTAAAATGCATACACACATTCAGTGTCTCCTCCCTCTGCATGCAGACACTGAACTTTCCTCATAGAGATTCATTAATTCAATTCATCTCTATAAGGAGATGTTGATTGGCCAGGGCTGTGTTTGAATCATGCTGACTCTGACCCTGATCTGCCTCTATGTCAGTCTCAGCCAATCCTATGGAGAAGCACTGTGATTGGATCAGGCCACCACTTCTAATGATGTCAGCAGACTGCTTGTTTTTATGAGTCTAAGTGCATGCAGAGTTACAGCTTCAGGCTTGAATATAGTAAGATTTTGCTATATTTATGGAGGCATGAGGGGCCCAGGGGGGCTAAATGGTGGTGTTAACACTGTAGGGTCATGAATTCATGTTTGTGTTCCTGACCCTCTTGTGATCCTTTAAGGTAATGCTGACTTTGGTCTCTCTAACACTGTGGCATGTTCCCTTTCTTCTACACTCACTACATACAGCTTTTCTCCTTCACAGACTATATACCAGGAGCTTCTGCCTGCTAATAAGAAGGTAAGGAGTCAAGTGGACCAGCGAGTGCTAGGGAACAGTCCTTAGAAAGCGTTGAGTGAGCGCATTATTAGATGCATTTATGCCAAGCTCAGGGTGCTGTCTGCATAGTATGCCCTTAGTTGGCCAGCTGCATGATTGACAGGCAGCCTGAAATGCATTAATGCCAGGCTGGCCTTCTAATTCTTTGGGCAGACATGTCCTCTTTTTGGGCATGTTCACCCCTTTTGGCAGGTTACGTGATTTGTGTCAGTGGCACACCCTTTTACCATGCCCATTGACTTCCTGCTTGACTGGACACTGCTGTTAGGGGTTATGGATTTACTTGAAAGATGAAAACATAAATTAGAGATAGATTAGCCTAGGGTATGTGTTTTCTTATAGCTGCTGTTTTCTTTCTCTCCAGCACCATCTCCATCAGATACATGACGCTTGGGAGTGTTTTACTGTTTTTGGTCGATATGATTCTGTAATTAGGCCCGTCATAATTGTCAGCACCAGGCCATGCAATGATGATTTGTCCACTACACACATGTTTATGCGTGAAT